TGTGTTGTCTCTGAGTGTATGATCATTATAGAGAAACTCTAGCTCGAAAGCACTGCCATTCGCAGGAAACCGACAAATGGCTTCGAAATTGAGTTCATATAACATAGGATAAGCATGGCGTAGTACTAGAGTGAGACTGTGAAGTAATCTTGAAGAAGTTCTCCTGCGATACACGTGGCTGGCACTTTTTGTTAACGGTTGATGGTGCAAGGCTTTGCCATTGTAAATCGGCTACTTTTATCAACATTGGATCGGCGCCAGTACTTATTATCAACACTCGTGTTGATATAATAACCAAAGCATTTATCTTCGTAGTCATCATCATATATCTAACATAAAAAGAATGAATATTTTGAGAATAAAAAACAAAATTGAATAGATTTGATACTATTTCTTTCGACGTATAGAATACAAATGGGTAGTTGAATCAGAAACTGATATTATTGTATGTTTCTAAGACAGTAAAATAAGCTCTACGATACACAATTCGTCATACTGTTTATTATTACCAGAAGCACTTCAGCAGGATAAATGGTAAAACCAGTTAATATGCATAAGTAATAAAGAATATGTAAGTATCGGATAAAATAGAAACAAAATAATGATTTATTATCTAGAGGTTACTCATCGTCCTGTACTTATCACCAAATTGTAAATCTAAGTCTGCATCTTTTAGTACAATCTTGAGCGTCTGAGTGTGGGTTTAAAGATATCTGCACCCATATCCAAATTCATACTCCCCGACTCATACCAAAATATTGTATGATACGACACGTACGGTCATACTTCCCTTATAAAAAACAGTGTACTTTTTTTATTATAGAATGATTAGAAAAAAGAAAGTGACACAGAGTAACGAATAGAATAAAATCCTCAAATTATGTACAAAAATGTTTAGTATATGACACATGTGCACTTTGACTAATAATTGTTAGCAGAAAAGTAATAAATTTTGTCAATTCTGAGAAAAATGATGGATGAAATGCAAAACATGTATTCAATGATTTATAATAAATCGAAGCACGTTTAGCATATATATTCGTGCATTTATAAACTAAAGGAAGTAATGGTGAAGTACTATAGAATGTATCTGCTTGGTTCGTTCATTTCAAAGACTGAAGTGCATGCTCGCAATAATTTACGTACTGCCGTTGGGCCCATATAATGAATCTTTCGTCAAATAAAATGGCAACAGCATATTTCAGAGAATAAAAAGATCTGTTAGTTATTCTAAATGTTTTAATACATTCATTGATGCGTGTGGGTGTGAATGAGCGTACGTGTATGAATCTTTTTCTCACAAACGCCCAGACACAGTGCACATCCATGCAAATTCTATTAAGTTATTAATTGCACATAAAATAAAAGTTGAAATTAATCGAAGTGTATAGTTTCAATTTTCGCGGACTGTATATTATTATTACGAGTATGGATGTTGATGATAAGGAGACACGAAGATAGTATGTATGATCTTGTATGTTAGCATGAATGATAACATCGGATATTTTTTTAAGCATTTCCGATTCATTTATCTGGGATGTAGTTGTTGCTGCTGCATAGTGTAATTAAAGAGATGGACAAGATCAGAAAGGATAGGATGATGATGCAGTAGAAGACGTATTTCATTTTATTTTTTATTAAATAAAAACGTGCAGTAATGTTTTGAGCTTAGAATATAAGCAGGACAGACCCCTTATTTATTCAAACGCTATATGTTTTTCTTTTAACACTGGAAAAAAGTGCCGATGTCGTTCTCTTTATATCATGAACTAGCTGTCAATGGTATAATTATATATCGTTATCTTCTTGCCAGTCTAGAGAAAACAAAATTGTTTTAGAAGCGGAGAAATATTTTTACGAAGAAACTATCACTTGTATTGACACTGTTTGTCAACAGCAGAAGTGTATCTCCTAGTACAAAGTGTAGAGAAGTAATAGGCTATAAGAAAAATGTTTATATGGTAGAAGCCTATGGATGGCAGAGCAAGATATATGTCGATAATTTTACACATGAGACAACATACTCAGATGATGTTCTACGTTTTTCTTTGTTCCAATGTCAATAGGTTGAGGGAGGGGGTGAGTTCTATTTCAGAGAACAGGCACATACACACTAACACGCAGACCCGGCACCCACACCCAAGATACAGAAACATATCTTTGATTCATATATTGTTCATTAGTTAAAACTAATTTCAAAGTGCTTGTGAATGAAAATGTTAATATTATCAATAATTACTTTGTATCTATCAATGAACTTTGTCAAATGTAGGGCAGACAAAAAAGAAAATTTAAACAATATAGCATGTCTTCTAAGCTGACAACCAATATCGAAGGGTTCTACGTCATGATGTTCAAACATCATCTTTTCCGCAATTGAATTGTGTTGGCGATTCAGCAAATTGTGCCTATAACCCGACTATTATACGCTATCACCAACATAGTCCCAACGGTATCTACATGCATATTCATGAGGAAAATCAATATAGAATAAATTGTAAAAGTTTTAGCCAGTTCCAATTTCATATACCATTCAAATTTTTCTATGAATGAAGCTAAAAAATGGAAAACAGAAACTATACAAGATGCATTATATCAGTATAATCTGGCATTTGGCAAATCAATTACGATATGTTCAATCAAACTATACGACAAGTCAATAGAGGACGAGCGTGTTGAATTTCACAAAGAAAAATTTTCTCTGATTCGTGTCTGACGCAATACTGTGGTTGCGGTTGACACTTAATTTTCTNGAGATGTAAATCACATTCTATGTAAGTTATTTTTCCCATTGAGAAATGAAGGTGTCGAGAATTTTCATTAAGCATCCTTTGCTATATTATTCCATAATCATAAAAACTCAGTGTACGAGAAAAGCAAGGGCATTCTGAGGGTGTGGGTGTGGGTATTCTGCGTACAATCTACACCCACACCCTTGCCATAATTCATAATAAAAATAGAAGGAATCAAATGGACATTGTTCGCGATCCTACTATTCTACAATATCTATCTGAAACAAGTTCAACAGATGAGGACTGAAAACCGATTGCATCTAAAAGTGAGATAAAATCCTACAAAAAAGGTCGATTGGTAAATAATGAAATTAACATTATTTCTGTGCCTGCCATTGATAATCTATCGGCCTTAGAAGAATGTGGTATCAAGCATAAATTCAAACGACGAATTAACATAAGCGATGAAACTGGAAATATTCGATATCGAACTTTTATTCTCGATGGCATAAAGTTGCATGAAGGAAAATGGTATTTTTGTGTTAAACTTTCACTAGGTGGAGCAGCACAAATTGGCTGGGCAACAAATGCATTTAATCCAGTTCAAAATGAAAGCTATGGTGTTGGTGATGATAGATTTTCATGGGGTTTCGATGGAGCAAGAGGAGTTTATGATTGTAATCGACGTAGTATGTTTTTTCGTGAAAATGACTGTGATGAAAAGGACGTATGCGGCTGTGGTATTGAAATCGATGGTAAAAATACGAATATCCAATATTGGCTAAATGGTAGTGCTTTAGGCCCATTGTTTTCAACTTCGGATAATGAAACAATTAAATCAGGAATGAAAGCAAATTTATTACCAAAAGGCATTTTTGCTAGCTATTTTCCTGTTGTGACTGTAAAAGTCTATCGCAATGTGGCTCATACAGGTGTTTTTGAATTTATACTTAGTTCAGAAGATATGATACAATGTCCTCTGACAAAAGGATACAAACCATTACTAATGCCAAAATTATTGCCAATGGAAAATGTACTCGTAGCACACCCTTATAGTGCATATATTATGGGTAATGATATTCAACAATATTTCTATACGAGTCGTTGTTCAAAGAATGATTTCACTGGCAAGAAAACTTCTTTGCCACGTGATTTTGTTAATAATGAACATTTTGAAGTTCCCTTTGATATCGATATGATAACAAAAGATGACTATCTATTGAAACTATCCGAAGAGAGTGATGACTTCCTATTGTCACTTGATAATCATCAATCATTCACTATTAATTTTGATTTTGAGATTAGCGCGACAGAAAATCGTCCTAACGAATTTGATGTTGTCTTGTTTACGTTAGATGACACAATGTTTTCTACTCGCGTCTGTATGAATGATGATTTTATCGATGAAACCATGATAAATCGAAAACGTGTTGCTATTCTATTTCAAATAAACGAACAAGTAAAAGTCTATATTAACAATAGGTTTCAAACATTGGATTATTGTTACGATTTTGATTCAAAATTGAATCTACAATTTTTACTACGTCTAAATGCTGGAATTCGAAATTTAGGCATATGGAAATATATATTATCGGAAGAACATATTCGACGTCTTTTTACATATGGTCTCGCGTATGTTGCCATCGATTATCAGAAATTAAATGAATATAAAAAACAACGAAATGCCATTAAATTCAAAGCAGAACAAAAATATTTTACTAATGAAACACTCGTTCCATTCAGTGAACCATTTAAACAAGATCTATGGGAAGAAACAAAACAATCGATTGGTCGCGATGAGTCGAACTATTTCAAGGCTATCCCACACATGAATGAATCCGTTGTTCAACTCTTCGGAAATACAACTTATTTAGTTTTAAATACTACAAATCAAGTATGGTCTGAATATGCATTGGTTTTAGATATTTCTATACCAAATTTTCCATTAGCAAAAGACCTATCCGATAGCGATGCTCGGTTGACTTTACTAACCATAAACGCAGAGTCTGAAATCTATCTAACTCATGACGGTTATCTTCATGTAACTGGAGGTCATCAAAGTTCATCTACAGTGCTATTGAACAAATATATTCGTTTATTTATTTCTGTTCAACAAAACTCTCTTTATATCTATGTCAATGGTTCGTTAGAAATCGATATATCACTTAGTGATGGTCAATTAGCAACGAAATTGAAACGTATTGATCTATTTCAAGGGTTAGATGTAACTAAGAACACTACCAATGACGATCAACTACGCATTGAATGTCGATCAATAACATATTTTAATAAATCAAGTCATATTCTTTCTGCAGCACTGAAAAAATTAATCCAATCAACTGGATATTGTTTAGATCAACTAGTTGTACCTCCGTTTAGCATTCTATCAGCAAGTCTCATCGGTATTGGTTGCAAAGAAGAATCGATTGAATACGTCATGAAAAAATATAACACAACGAATATTTATTTCATCGATAGGATTCTACGAGAAGAAACTCAAAATATCGACAAGATATTTCAACAAGAGCAGCAACAAAAAAGACGTGATGTTTTAGCACGATTGAGTCCGTATGATGAAAATGGAGCATTGTCTATGTTAATGGATACCAACGATGTTACAACTGATGTATCAATATCAACATTGAGATCTGAAATAGACAACAATGATGATGATGATATACCATCAGATAAAAAATGGTATTATGATACGGTTCGTTCTGTAGGAATTCATGATAAACTAGATGATTGACTTCGAGATCAAACAAAGACTAATCAAGTAACAACAGTTGGATATCCTGGATATGAACTTATTGATTTAACAAAAGCAGATTCTGGCGAAACAGAATTTACTAATAAATTCAAGAACACTATGACAACAAAATCACATTATGTACATCGACAAATACCACGAAAAACCTATATTCATTCGCGTACAGTTTGTGTATATGGGCTCATAGCAATCTATGCACGTTATACAATATGGAATATATTAAAAATCTGATGTAATGATGATCATTCGAGTTTATTTCCACTTTCGAAATTCGGTGATGGAAATTCTATTGTAAATTTATTACGATGGATGGATCATCATCATACACATGCGCGTATGTTTACTGATGAAACTATCAATAGAATGGAAGTATTGACAATGTCGATAATAAAAGTTGAATTAAAAGATTTATTAATATGTATGGTAAACAAGAAATTGACTGTTGAAATATTCAATAGAAAAGCTCCAGTCATTTTTCAATTACAAAAGTTAGTTGTCGAAGAATCGATGTACTTTCTTAGTGAACCATCGCTAATCGACGTGAACAACAACAATGAACGCATATTCACTAAACAACCAAATTTAGATTTTCTTCTAAAAAATTTTCATCTCTTTTCGGACGTGTTGAAAGATTTTACACTGAACAATTATGATATCGATTTGGTGATTCAATTATTATTTTCAGGCATATTTATTAAAATACTCTTCGATCTATTTCTGTTGGTTCCCTCACATCTATTGAAAACGTTCATCATTGGTCTTTTCACTAAGTATGTTATTGATATTATTCGTCATATTCTTAATCAAGTTT